AACATTTATTTTCTTCCCCATTGATATCTAAGTTTCCTTCCACTAATGATGATTTATTTGTACGTATCAATACATGCAATGATGTGTGTATTCCCTTACAATGAGTCCCATGTATCCATGGGATAAGTTTTATATCGAAATTACGAGAGAAGCCTAAGGTACTTTGTAAGATCACTTTCTCTTCAGCACTTTAAACTAATTGATTGTCTTGCAGTTCCATTACTCAGACTTCTAACAACTTTCATTTGCAGATTTTGAAGTTTCATAGGATAAATCATAAATTGTACACATAGATTTAAAATGTTCTCCTTGGGAGTGCTTTCATTTCTGGAAATTGCAGTGAACCTGAGGATGAGCAAAAATGATAAAATATTTCTATAACCGTATTAGAGCATTGCTGAGAATTTCTTGCAAGACTTGGGAGCTGTAAACATTAGATTAGTGATTCAACTGAGGATAATTTTGTCTGTCATTTGTCACACTGGGGATTGTCATACTGGTGGGATGCCACTGGCATCTAGTGCATAGAGCCCATGCATGCCCTTCAATGAAGAGGAAGGCCCCCTCACAAACAAATCACTATCCATTCTCAAACATCAACAGTGCCACTGTTAAGAAGCCCTGGATTAGAACAGTAACAGCTTTTTATAGGATACACTTTTATAAATTCCTACTTTTGAAAAGTTTCTTAGACAAAATATTTTATATACAGTGTACTGAAATCTGTGTAAACATAATGCAGATAAATGTTTACTATGTATGATAAGAAATGTGGAGTATGTGTGTGAGCATGTACACAAAAAGATTAAATTAAAAATACATTCCTTTGTGAATGTCTACTTGGGAGAATCTGTTTCTCTAGTGTGTAAGTCTTTACATTCTTCTTTTTGTTTACAGGAAAATGGATAATAATACAATCTTTAAACATAAGAATATTCATTTTTTGAGTAAATGTCTTAGAGCACAGCACTTTTCTTATTCTCCACTGTATCCCTCAGAAAACCCAGACCAGTTCCTTAGACACAGTAGAAATTAAATAAAGTATTGTATGAATGTATGGGAAGATGAATGAATGAATGACTGAATAAATTATGATCTATGATTTTAAGTTTATATTTCCATTTAGTCAATGCATGCTTTAAGTCAGAATCAACAGAAAAAGTCTGCTGAATGACATTATCTAACATCAAATTCATGTCTTTATTTTTATACAAGGTAGAAGAGGTGTACCAAACCACTGGGCTATGGACCAGTACTGGTCTGTGGCCTGTTAAGGACCAGGCTGCAGAGCAAGTGGTGAGGGGCCGTAAGCGAGCATTATCACCTGAGCACCACCTGCTATCAGATCAGTAGCAGCATTAGATTATCATAGGAGCACACACCCTACTGTGAACTGTGCATGAGAGGGTTCTAGGTTGCACAGTCCTTATGTGAATCTAATGCTTGATGATCTGGGATGGAACAGCTTCATCCTGAAATCATCTGCATCCTCCCTACCCCACCCCACATCTCAGTCTGTGGAAAAATTGTCTTCCATGAAACCAATCCCAGGTACAAAAAAGTCTGGGGCCCACTGAGGTTTAAAATAGGTTTTAGGCTGAGTGTGGTGGCTCATGCCTGAAATCCCAGCACTTTGGGAGGCCGAAGCAGGCAGATCATGAGACTGAGACCATCCTGGCCAACATGGTGAAACTGACTCTACTAAAAATACAAAACTTAGCAGGGTGAGGTGGTGCACGCCTGTAGTCCCAGCTTCTCAGGAGGCTGAGGCAGGAGAATTGCTTGAACCCGGGAGGCAGAGGTTGCAGTGAGTTGATACTGCGCCACTGCACTCCAGCCTGGGCGATAGAGGGAGACTCTGTCAAGAAGCAAGCAAGCAAGAAGGAAGGAAGGAAGGAAGGAAGGAAGGAAGGAAGGAAGGAAGGAAGGAAGGAAAGAAAAGGGGAAGGGACGAGAAGGAAAAGGGGAAGAGGAGGGGGTTTTAAAGCTTTCTTGGAGAAAGTCTATTTGGAGGACCTAATTCCAGATTTCAAGGGGCTGATTATGGCAAGTATACATAAGTGGCCCATTAGTTAGGATCATTTGTTATAAAAATACTATAGTTATTTATTTGTACATAAATAAATATTTCTAAATACATAAATAATCTTATAATAATATAACCTGTGTTATTATGGCAACTGCTCTTAAGGTAAAGCTTCTGAAATTTTATGTAAAATCACATGTGCGGCCGAGTACGGTGGCTCATGCCTGTAATCCCAGCACTTTGGGAGGCCCAGATGGGAGGATCACAAGGTCAAGAGATCGAGACCTTCCTGGCCAACATGGTGAAATCCCATCTCTACTAAAAGTACAAAAATTAGCTGGGTGTGGTGGTGCATATCTGTAGTCCCAGCTCCTTGGGAGGGTGAGGCAGGAACATCGCTTGAACCCGGGAGGTGGAGGTTGCAGTGAGCCAAGATTGCGCCACTGCACTCCAGCCTAGTGACAAAACGAGCCTCCGAAAAAAAAATAAATCAATAAATCACATGTGCTTTGGCATAGGTATTATTCTAAAGTGACGGTATCAAACAACTTTTATTGGATCCAATATTGGTCCATGCCCAAAAGGATAAGAATACCAAATGTTCTGTGGTAAAATAATGAGCATCAGTAAAGAAGAAGCCATATCTAGGTTTTGGCACAAAGGAGAGTAGGCTGAATTCAATAGTTAAGAGCTTCCTGAGCACTGGAAGTTTCCAAAGGAGTGAAGGAGCAGACATAAGCCATCCCGTCAGATATCTTGTGAGACATCCCATAATAAACCATAGAGGAGTCTAGTTTTCACTGAACAATAATATAATAGTTTGTGGGAAAGTCATAGGGCTATCCTAACTTTCATTTAAGGTACATTCCGGGGGAGCATACAAAACTATCTAAGGCTAAGATTAAAACAAATTTGAAAAACCTTCGCCATTATCTAAACCCATGACCATGAAAGACATTACTAATTAATCAGGAACTTAACTGGATATTTAGCTGTAAACCCCTGAATCATCAATTCACCAATGAATTCACTTGATTTCAACAAGAAGTTTCATGGTTATCAAGGAGCCAAGGCCCTTTCCACCCTTCCCTGTGTCCAGCTCTTATCCCTAGTACAAACTGCAATCTCCAGCTAACTAATCTAACTATTGTCTAATGATCTGAGGTGGAAGAGTCCATTCCAAACCCATCCATCTCCCCACTCCTCCCGCACCCAATTGCCCATGGAAAAATCATCTTCCATGAAAGGGGTCCCTGGTGCCAAAAATATTGGGGACCACTAAGGTAGAAAATCGGTTTTAAAGCATTCTTGGATAACGTCCAGCTAAGCACCAAGAGGTGTTCAGTTTCCAGCAACTGTGCTTTGAAGCCTCAAACCTTTGTGGGTATCCACCTCATGAAGAAAACTCCTACTGGCAGCAATTGCTTTCACAACTTTTTAGGTCTTTCTTAACCCAAGGTTTTTGAAATGTACTAACAGTCTTCATAATTCTATCCTCCTCCACTTCCAATCTTCCACTGTTCAACCTGGATCTTTGTATTTCTCCTGAGAAAAGTTATATTTTCTAGATATTCATCTTCTGGATATGGCCTCTTCACAGGACCAATATGAGTCACTATATAAATTGTATATATATACACATACATATTTATAAATTATCTAAATAAACGTTAAAAATATATTTATAAGTCTGGCCCTTTGAGCTTTGTCCTGAAATAGGATTTTTTTTTTTTTAGGGGCCTGACTGTGTTTATTTATTTAGCCAATGAATATGTTTCCAATAAAGGTGAGACTGACTTTTCCCCTAAGGGGTTTGGTTTACCAGAAAAATGAAACTAAGTTCAGGCGAGGGGTAGAGTACAGGCCAGAATTTTGTACTTCAAAGAGTGTAAGAGGACTTTCGGTTTTGAAAGCTAGAACTGAACTCCAGAATAATAAACTGGAGATAACTGTACACATCTCTGTTTGGACAAAACGCTGTTAGCAGACAGAATCAGGAAAAGCTGGCCTTCCTACACATTGGAGCTTTCCAGTAGAGAAAGGGGAAGAGAAAAGAGCATAGCTATAAAATCCTGTGAGAAATTCCAACAAACACCAGGGGAAAAGATACACTTCCTTGGGTAATATTACTGAACTCAGACTCACGTTTGATTCAGAATGAATGAATTTTCTTTTCTAATAAATTAAATCATGATCATGACATTTTTCATGAATTTAAAAAATGTGTTAAACAGTATCAGATATCTAGGACACAACGAGGCAAACACTAAATCTGCATTCCTTGCCGTTTCCTTGGTTTTGTGCTCAGCAAACTGGTCTCTTACAGAGCTTTCATGCTAGACTCAAATCTAAGCATTTATTATAAGGACTTTTTCATAATGCTATGAAAAGGAAATTAAATGTTTCTCTTTTCTCCAACTCAGTCTCCAAGGCAGGAAGAACTTTTAAGGCGACGCGTTAGTTTAAGGAGAATCATTAACCATCAGGATTCTGTAAGCGGGCTAAAGGCAGGCTCTTTGTCTCTAACTTCTGATCACTGGCGCCCTCCTCGGGAAGAAAAACGACAGGTTTCCTCCACCAACACGCTGCTCCCTGTTCCTGGTTCTCATAAATGTGAAAAAGAGCTTTGGAAGTTAGTGGCGACGATAGAGGGGATTGCTAAAAAAAGGGCCCTTCTTCCCATCAAAAACACTTTGGACGTATCTACTGATGTCTTTGGGTGCGTCCCCCAAATCCATAGCGACACATCTTTTCTGGAAAATCTAATCTTTTGGTTAGCAAAGGCATGGGGGAGCGACACAGTGGCACAAGGAGAGGGGAGAGAGAAGCTGGCTTTTGCACCCGCAGCTCAGGGCCCCAGACGTATCTGGGGTGCCCACCAGCAGGGGCAGCTCTCCGGGCCCCTCTTCCGCAGCCCAGACCCGGGACAGGAAATGGGGGAGCGGGACAGACCCGGAAGGCGCGCGCTCGGTACCCGCAAGGCGGCGGCCTCTCGCTGGCGGCTCCGCGGCAAGGTCCGGGTGAAGGGGGCGTGGGAGTCCGCGTCGCCGCCGCCCCAGCACAGCAGCCCCAGCAGCCACGGCAACGCCCGCAGCTTCATCGCGGCGCCAGGCTCCTCCGCCACCCGGGCGGCCTGTTTTCTCTTTCGGTTCTTCGGCTCCTCCCCTCCCGGACTCGATGGGCGGAAGAAGCTGTCGCGTGGAGTGCAGGATGCGGGGATTGACCCCTGTGTTAGGTCCCAGGTGCTCTGTGCCTGAAAATCCGGTCAGCTGGAGACTATGAAACTTCTCTCTGGGGCTAGTGTTTTGGATTTTTTTTCCTTGTTTTTGGAAGAGTCAGGCACTTGCTTTCGAGGTTTCACCTCTCTCTGTCTATTAGAAAAAAGAACCCTGAGAGGCATTCTTTTTTTTGTGTGTGGTGAGATCAGGGCTCACTGCAGCCTCGACCTCCCAGGTTCAAGTGATCATCCTGCCTCAGCCTCTAGAATAGCTGGAACTACAGGCACATGCCACCACGCCAGGCTATTTTTGTATTTTTAGTAGAGATGGGATCTTACCATATTGCCCAGGCCAGTCTTGAAATCCTGGCCTCAAGTGATCTGCCCGCCTTGGCCTCCCAAAGTGTTGGGATTACAGGTGTAAGCCACCTGGCCTGCCTTGTGAGCCTCCGAAACCTGCCATGTTCCTTCTCCCCACGCTCCCTAAGTTCAAGACCTGCTTCTGAAATGATGTGGGCCAATACATAGAGGCATACATTCAGCAGATGTTTATAAATACGTAACAAAATTGTACAGTTGTGAAAAGCATAGACAATTTTTGGATCTATTACGGCAGTTTCAAAATTCTTGAAGCCTGTTTCTCCATTTGCAAAGGAAGATAGAGCCAGCTACATGATTTGCAGGGCCCCATGTAAACTGAAAATGAAGTTCCTGTGTTCATAAATTGTTAAGAATTTCAAGACGGCAACAGCAGAGCATTAACCCAAGCTATGGGCCTTCTAAGCACCCACTTCTGCACAGGTCACACACTCATGAAGCTGGCTCTACTGAGCCTTTCTATTATAATCTATTGTGAACAAGGCTTCCATGTCTCTGAAATTCCTATCACTACCCTCCTAGATTTTTAGATTTATCAGATTTATGTCTTTAGTTTTTAACCTAGATGCAGTGAGGTACAATATTCTCTGATGCAAAATTGGTAATAAAATAAAAAGAATGTTCTGGTTATTAAGAGGAAAGACATCAGAGGTTTCTTTGTTTTGTTTGTTTGACAGAGTCTGGCTCTTTTGCCAGGCTGGAGTGCAGTGGCCTTATCACGGCTCACTGCAACTTCCATTTTCCGGTTTCAAGCAATTCTCCTGCCTCAGCCTCCCGCGTAGCTGGGACTACAGGCACCCACCACCATGCCAGGCTAATTTTTTTTTTTTTTTTTTTTTTTGTATTTTTAGTAGAGACCGGATTTCACCATGTTGGCCAGGATGGTCTCCATCTCTTGACCTGGTGATCTGCCCCCCTTGGCCTCCCAAAGTGCTGGGATTACAGGCGTGAGCCACTGCGCGCTGAGGACATCAGAGTTTTTTTAGGTACATCCATGATGAGATATATTGCTCTTGAAAAGTATGGTGATACAGATTTTATTTAAATCATAGGTTTACAGAACAATGTTCATGTTAACCTCAGCAGTTCTTTTGCACTTAGCCCTTTCTTGTAACTCATACAAGCACATACTTCTTTTTTTAAACTGAGGTTTGATTTTGGATCATAGTTCCTATTTATTGACAACCTACTGAGTCAAGAAACTTAAATATAGGCAGTCATCCTTACTCTAGGAAAATTGGTATTGTAAGAATGCCACTCGAATTAAACTCAGTTCATGAACTCGCATCAAGTATTTATTGAGTACCTGCTAAGTGTCAGGCATTGTTCTAGGTAATGAGGGTATATCAAGCAAGTGCATAAGTGACCAAACAGGTGAAAATCCCCATCCTCATGAAGCTGGTATTTCAGTTGATTTACATCAACAAATATTTATTGAGTGTATAAAGTGCATAAGTGTCTCAAGATATGAAAATCTCCACCCTAATGGAGGTGGTATTTCAGTGAGGGAAGAGAGACGCAATAACATTACTACAGGTTGGCCTGGCGGGGTGGCTCCCTGCAATGCCAGGACTTTGGGAGGCTGAGGCAGGCGGAACATGAGGTCAAAAGGACGGATCACAAAGTCAAGAGGGCGGATCATGAGGTCAAGAGATTGCGACCACACTGCTCAACATGGTGAAACCCTGTCTCTACTAAAAATAAATACAAAATGAGCTGGATGCGGTGGTGTGTGCCTGTAGTCCCAGCTACCCTGGAGGCTGAGCCAGGAGAATTCCTTGAACCTGGGAGGTGGAGGTTGCAGTGAGCCGAGATTGTGCCACTGCACTCCAGCCTGGCAACAGAGGGAGACTTCATCTAAAAAAAAATAAATTACTACAGGTTGAGGATCCCTTATCCACAATGTCTGGGACTGGAAGTGTTTCAGATTTCAGATTTCTTTCCCCCAGATTTTGGAATATTTGCCTATACATAATGAGATCTCTTGGGGATGATACCCAAGTCTAAACACGAAATTCATTTGAGTTTCATATACACCGTATGCACATATCGTGAAGGTAATTATGCTGACTATTTTAGATAATTTTATGCATGAAACAAAGTTTTGAATGCGTTTTGACTGTGACCGACCATGTGAAGTCAGGTGTGAAATTTTCTAGGTGTGGCATTATGTCAACATTCAAATAGTTTTAGATTTTGGAGCATTTTGGGTGTTTGGATTAGAGGTGCTCGACCTGTACATGTGTTAAAGGACAATACATCTACATAAGGAGAGTCATGAGTGTGAGGGGTAGTGTTGCTCTTTTAAGTAAGGTGTTCAATACTGTCCTCACTGAGGAGGAGGCTTTTGAGCAAACATTTGAAGGGGAAGAAAGTGAGCCACATGGATATTCAGATATCCAGGGAAGGAGAAGCTAAGACAGAAAGAATCGTCAACACTAAGGCTGTGAGATGGAAGTTTGCTTGGCACGTCCCAGAAACATAAAAGAAGTCACCATGGATGGAGGAAAGGGAAAAAAAAAGAGGGTGGGAGAGAGTAGAATATGAGATAAATAAGACTCACACAGATTGTGAAGAATTTTGGGTCAGTTAAAAGGGAGATCAGTTAAGTAGTAAAACAAAGTTTTTGAAAAGTGTCTTGAAAAGTGAAGGTGAAATTATCTGCTAATTCTTAGAATAAACACTATAAATTAATTACATGCACATGTGGAGATGTATTTTTTCATAAATCTGCAAAATAGCACGTGGAATTTCCCTTAACTCTTTATTACGTATCTACTGCCTCATAAAATACAACCCTCAAACTTAGCATCTTAAAAAAAACGATTTCTTTTGCCTGGGCGTGGTGGCTGACACCTGTAATCCCAGCCCTTTGGGAGGCTGAGGGGATTGAGACCAGCCTGACATGGTGAAAACCCATCTTTACTAAAAGTACCAAAATTAGCCAGGCGTGGTGGTGTGCGCCTGCAATCCCAGCTACTCAGGAGGTTGAGGCAGGAATATCACTTGAACCTGGGAGGCGGAGGTTGCAGTAAGCCGAGACTGCACCATTGCACTCCAGCCTGGGCAACAGAGCGAGACTCTGTCTCAAAAAAAATTTTTTTTTTCTTATTTAATACATTTTCTGTGGACCAGGCACCTGGGAGCAGCTTATCTGAGTGGTTCTGGCTCAGTGTCTCATGAGATCGCAGACAAGCTGATGGGTATCGCTGCAGTCCTCTGAAGGTTTCCTAAGGTTAAAGGATTTGATTCCAAGCTCATGTGGCTGTTGGAAAAAGTCCTCAGTTCCTCTAGGCCTTTGGACAAAATCCTCAGAACCCTTATGAGAGGGCTAGGCTTTTCCAGACTGCTTTGTTTCTGCAGAATGAGTGACTAGAGAGACTGAGAGAGTGGACCAGGGAATGACTGTGGTGGGAGCAGCAGTGTCTTCTTATAACCTTACCTTGAAACATCATCCCTCTGCCATTGGTTACACAGAGCCAGTCTGGTACGATGGAGCTGACATGAGGTGGGGGGCCATCAGGTGCCATCTTAGAGGCCAGCTACCGCAACATCACATTGGACGCTCTCAGCCCAGTAACAAACACGGTCATTTCTTTGTGTGCAAAAATACTCCGGGACTATCCATTTTCACAAATGCCTCTCAACCTTTACGATACGAAAATCACTATGTACTGTTTTTATCCCGTTGTGAACTTTCTGGGATTTCTTCCGTTTTTAATCATACTATTTCATGTTTCAATGACTTTGCTACTAAGTTATTTTGTTTTTGTTTTCACTTTTTCAGAAAGATTCTCTCTCTTCCCCAGGTTGGAGTACAGTGGCGCAATCTCAGCTCACTGCAGCTTCAGCCTCCCAGGTAGCTGGGATTACAGGCATGCACCACCATGCTTCGCTAAGTTTTTGTATTTTAGTAGAGACAGGGTTTCACCATGTTGGCCAGGCTGCTCTCCAACCCCTGACCTCAGGTGATCCCCCTGCCTCGGCCTCCCAAAGTGCTAGGATTACGGGCGTGAGTTACTGCATCCAGCCTTGTTTTTATTTTTACTTGCTACACATTCATATGTTTATTATGACTTACCACTGTGTTAAGCCTTTTGCAAGTATCAACCTTAATTCCCCCTTGCAGAAGGTAGCATTATCATCGTATCTGTTTTATAGATGTGAAAACTGAGGCAGAAAAAAGTTAAGGACTAATTGCATGAGATACTGAAAATCTCATATAATCAGCTAGAGATTATTAAATAATTTGAAACATAAACTGAGAAAAATGCTAGGGTTTTTTTATCTGGAAAAATCTGGGGAAAATACTGGAATGAATACTAATTGTGTAAGACATTAGATCTTTAGTGAGGTTTTCACGATATGAAGAATTTTGCCTCCCTGCACAACCTCAGGACTGCAGGGTTTCAGACATTTAATGTACTGATGAGAAGAACCATGTCTATTGCCGTTAATCCTTAAAACAACCCAGCGAGGTAGAAATTATTATACTCACTTTACATATGAAGGAACTGACATGTATAGCTATTAGGGACTTATTTAAGATCCTAAGTAGTAAATGGCCATGGTGAGACATAAATTGAGCTGTCAGACTTCAGAGCTCA